AAATAAAAAATTTGTCACCGCCCACCTCGTTAAAATGACTCTGGGCAGTTTACAGCAGAAATAAAATTCATTAAAATACAATGTAAAAACAATCCTAATAAATAGCTTCCAAGAAAGATGGAGAGTTGGCGAATAATGCAGGGAGCATCGTCAGGGCGCTAACCACCCCCAAGGACGATTAGAGCTCATGTCGCCCCATGCACACTGGTGTGCATGTATGAAAGAGCCAACTCTCGTATTACCTGACACTTATAGCCTTGTCTATAGCCCCAGATGACACATTGTACTATTCTCCTTGCGTGCAGATTCAGATCTGATTTTGACTTCCTCCAAAGCTTAATACAACTCCATGAATGAAGCTGCGGTGTTGGCAGATATATTGCTTAATGCACTGGTTTAAAAACTGTTACCTTTCACAGGCTGCTTATGGAAGATATAGTGTCAAGATATGAGAGCTGAGGGCTTCATTAAGTGCTCTGTTTGCCTCAAGCACATGTACACCAGTCATGCCAGGAGGAAGCTGAAAGCCAAGAACAGTTCAGCTCACATTTTCACAAGACAGAGTGTTCCATGACGCACAACGTAGAACAAATACCAGGAAATTCTAACCTGCCTCACTTCAGTGTTGATCTTTACCAAGGTTATGACGTACATCACCCAAGACAATATACTAAGGAAGGGACTGCGCTTCAGTAGCCTGTTTACACATTCCCAGGTAAACACTTGAATCGTGTCCTTAACCCCATTTGAATTTCTTACAGAGAGGATTTTTAATCAGAGACAAAAAGCTAGCCATGTCCTGGAAATGCTGGAAACACCTGATCTTTATGGATTGTGCATGAAAATGATTTAGCCCTTACAAGTGACTTCCAAGAACAGAAATGTCTGCAGCAGTTTATCATGCTCATCTACTTGGGAAATAAAACCAAATGGATTCTGCTCTCCTATAACCCACCACACATTACGGAGAAGATGGTACAAATATGTGCTGTGCTCCTAAGGGTACAGGGCCTTTCAGAATCAAAGCCTACTTTGAGGGAAGGAAAGACCCACATGCCAAATCCATGTGCCACAGAAAATTTCCCTCACATTTTCCAGCTTCATTACTACCAAGATTTAAAGCTCCAAATCATTAGATGTATGGGACCACAGCTCCCATAATTCCCAGGTAACATGATCTTCAATTGTGCTGATTACAGATTATAGCTGATGAAGTTCAATACATAGAAAATCCCAGACTGGCAAAGGTAGCTGTAAAGGGACACAGTTTAATAAAGGGTTGCTGGCAGAAAATGTTGGCAGGGTGAGGGGGGATTTCAAGGCATAAAGATTTCTTTGCAATGCTGTTGTTTAATTTTCTCCCTGCCTATCACTATGTGTAAAACATTCAGCTCCCCAGGGAATGTAAAACTGTCCAATAGCCACGGAAACTATATGAAGGGAGGTGAAGCCATTTTCTAGGCAAACAGCTTGAAACAACACTGAATGCAGAGAAACTGTCAATTGACGCTAGGGAATCAATTAACAATATAGTTACAAGTGAGAAGAGATGTATAGAACAGCTACTGCTAGCATAAAGGAATAGTCTTGCCGTAGCTCTCCTTAACAGTTCCTAAGGGATTGGACTTCTAATGGGTAGTTACACAATAGTGCAGAATATTAACCTCTTCTACTTTTCAGTTTTCCAACTGGCTGTGTCTCATAAACAATAGCACAGCCTGCATCTATCAAATATTAAAAAGATGTTTAATTAACGATAAAAATAAGAGCATGCCTCAAACCATAGTGACAGAGGAGGCCAATAGTGACCGAAGAATCATATTTACAAACTATAGAAATGTATTTGTTTTATATGTGACAACTATGTAACCACTACATAAAAGTACCACAGGCTAGCAAAGGAAACCCATAACATTAGAAACACTTCAGGAACTGAGATGGCTTTATAAGTTTTGTGAATCTGAAACTGCACTAAAAAAATACAAACTGGATAAACTACATATGATGTAACCTCAAATAGATTAGTACCCTGTGGAAAAAAATTAAGATGACTATTATACATATATGATTTTCAAGACCATCTCTGAGACAGAGATCACAAATTTTAGGAAATACTGGTTGGAAACCCAAGGTTCTATATTTTTTAATTTATGGGGATTTACTGTCTAGTAAATGTCAAAGTACAATAGAATATATAAAAGAAAACTATGTGCATAAAGGTCTTTCTTTTTTTGATCCTTTTCAAATACCCTGATTTCTTTTAATTTTGTTCCTTCTTTGCCTATTTATTTAAAATATTGTATTTTATTCTTCTAATAAGAAGAGTCATAAAGTCATTTATTTTTATACCAGATAAAACTAGCAGACTGGATTATCAAGCTTGATGAGAAGCTGAAACTATTGTTTCTGCCCGCCCACCCCCAAACTGTGATCATTAGCACTTTGATTAAACTCCAGGCTGGCCATAATCAAAAGAATGGCAGGAGAGCAGGAAGCAATATTTCCTCTTTTCTTGCTTGTGTATTAAAAGCAGCAAACTTAACACTGTTATAAGAAACAGTTACTAGGACAAAAATTATAGCAGTAAACAAATTAAATTTGAGGAGCAGCATTAATGAATTGGTTGCCTTCATCCTATTCTTCTCTTGGCTCTGCTGAGCAGAAGTGGCCTTCCTGCCATTAAGAGAATGTGCACGTGGCTTGTGTGTCGGCTGCTGAAGGAGAGATATGGAGAAACATATTTCCATTTTCTTTGGAAGTTTATTATTATTTTATCTATATAAAAGATTGTAGTATGTTAGCTTCTTTTGTCAGGCAAAAACCCCAAGAATTTGGAGAAATCTGAAATATGTAATACTTAATACTGTAATACTTATTTAATTCCTTCATAGATGGAAATTTATTTCATTACTTCTAAAATATATTATGAAGAGTTCATAATATATTTTATTATTTGCTTGTAAAAGTATGTTTGTTTATAAAACTGACCAGTAGGGTTTACTCAGACCATAATTATAAATATACAGATTTAGCATACAGGTAGTCCTCGCTTAATGATCGCAATAGGGACTGGAAAATGTGTTGTTAAGCAGGGCAATTATTAAACAAGTAGTGCCCAATTTTACAACCTTTTTTGTAGCGGTCATTAAGTGAATCACCACAGCCGTTGAGCAAATCGCACGGTTGTTAAGCGAATCACACAGCTGCCCGTTGATTTTGCTTGCTGGAAGCCGGCTAGGAAGGTCGCAAATGGCAATCACATGACCCCCAGACACTGCAACCGTCATAAGTGCGAGCTGGTTGCCAAGCACTCAGATCGCAATCACATGACTGCAAGGGTGCTATGATGGTTGTAAATGCGAGGACTGGTTGTAAATCCCTTTGTTCAGCACCACTGTAACTTCAAACAGTCACTAAACAAATGGTTATTAAGTGAGGACTACCTGTACTTCTTTACTGAGCATGGAGCTACAAGCTGCTAAACCCTAAAGAAATGTAACATCTCTTCATTTTTGCTCATTTAGGGGAAGCAGGCAGGCAAAAAAGCTTACTCTAAAAACTCAAGAGAACACCAGTTTGGTGTTGTGGTTAAAGGCACCAGGCTAGAAACTGGGAGACCATGTGTTCTAATCCTGCCTTAGTCCCTATTCCTAGTGCAGTACCTTTAACCACTCTAGACACCAGTACTTTTATTAACTATATGGGAACTACAGTTTCAAGTGAAAAAGAAAATCTTCAAAAATATTTTTTGTAAATTGTTTATGGGTCTGGCTGTAAAAAAAGCACACCTTTAAAATAATCCCATTAAAAAGAAGGGTACTATCTTAGCCAACAGCTTTTCATTTCCCCAATGAAATTATAGACAGCATTTGAATTAAGCTGCAGAGGCAAAGCATACAATCATCCAATCAGAGCTAAGTATACTGCTTAATCAGGATGACTTATTGAAGGAACTCTGAAAGATTAGTTTGATTCAACTGTGAATAGTTGGTCACCATATTCAGAATACCTATTAAAATACTACTTTTTCAAAAGAGAATTTGGAGATGGCTTTGTTTCAGTTATTTCACAGCAAGATATTTATCCTGTGATATCTATAGCAATAATGGTAGACCAATGCTAAAACAGTTTTAGTTGGTAAAATATTTGGAGAAAGAAAGACATTTCTTTGCTGCTATCCCTTTTTTCTCACAACATGAAATTGCAGATGTGTACGGTCAAGCAGAGCATATGGACAGAAGAGGTTGTATTTTCTTAAAAATTTAGTCACTGAACAGAAATCTAAAGTCTGCTTGCATAAAGGGAAAGTTACTAGACCTGCTTCCTAATTTCTACACTCGGCACATCTTTTAGAAATAAATGCAAATATGTTCCCATGGCCTACTATTAAGTAATTGCAACATTTAAGGGTCCCAACCTCCTGCCACGATTTGGGAGTGATCTTAGATTCACACAGCAGGTACAGGTAATTCCCGGGTTAAGAATGCATGGTTTAAGGACAAC